CCCCAATGGATTAGCAGTCCATCGCCTTAACCACTCGGCCACCTGATCGTGGCGTGCTTGCGTGCCCATGTAGCAAACTTTCAGTTGATTCACATCCTCTAAAATTATTTAATAATGATTTGGCTTACCTCCATAAAAGCAAACAAAACTAACGTGACTACTTGCTCGCCTATAGCAATGAATGCGGTATCTCCAAAAATTTCAAGAGTTGACGTTTTACAGTCACACATTCAGGTTATCGTTTACCTGTACTTTTCATTCCTCTATAGGGTATGTATTGGCAATTAATCTATAATTGCCATTTTTGTAAGAAAGTTCACTGTCGTGACTCGTTTCTCTACACGACAGCCAGTCTCACAGAAACGCAATATTCTCGAAGGTCATTGTTTTTTTCTTCATTTTCGGAGTGCATACCAGTAATGTTTTTTGTCGTATTTTCGAGAGAGTGCTTACGACGTTTCCTCTGTTTTGGTTTAAAAATTTGTCATGTTGCGGATGCTATCTCTAATTCAAGATTGATTCAGTTTGATGGCCGATTACTAGTGATTTCCGTTGTCTTGACTAGGACGTCATAATTTTTTTTTTCAAGGATACGAATTTCTTTCGAGTGTTCTGACTGTTTGCTCCACATCACTTTCCTTTTCATAACTCACTGCCTTTGAGTGCAGTTGACCGATCGGAAGGCTTCCAGATTCCAGTTGTTCAACTAGGGATCAACGTTTGTCATAGAGGTATTAATCTCATTAAATCTAACTCGCCAGCTCATGGGCTGAGGTCTGCAATGAAGACGGAAATACTGAGAACTCTACAGAATTGAACCCTTGAGCATTTCTACAGCTCTCAGTTTCCCAACCTGGGCTCAGATTTCCAGGAACAACTTGAATTTTGATGCAGGGGTGCCAAGTATCGAGGCCATTCATTTTTTCTGTAACCAGTTGAGATACTGGACTTTTATGGATACCTAAGTGCAAATGGCGGCTGCCATTCAGCAAGGAACTTGATGTAGATCGAATCTCAGCCAAGACTACCGTAACATCCGCCTGTCTAACTTCTGAGGAAGTAGGAACCCTACTTGGTCGGGGGACATGGAAGAAGTTCGACATTCTGTTTCCCTTTCGACTAGAGTTTATCGCTTCAAGGCTCCCATCGTACCATATTTGCGGTTTTGTGAAAAGAGAATAGAACTCACTGACTTTATACACTTTTATTCGAGCATCTTAGGATGCGCCACGGCATCCGACTTCCATCCGGAATCGTAGTGGCGATTTGAACCCGTATGTGACCTATACATGGACCTGCGGTGGCCAGCCTTTCCAAATTAGTGCTTCTATTTAACCAGACAAGTCTATTACCAAATAGCTGACTCCGTGGGAATGGGGGCTTGGGAATTACTGGATTCACCCATGTAGGCTGTGATCGGGAACTGATTGAGTTCCACTGCATCTAGGAACCTACAACTTTGCTTGTGAATCTATTGAGGGGTGGGAGCCACTTGAGAACAACTCACTAACCCCGCTCACCCCCCCCCCCCCCCACTCCCCTCCTGTTTCACTCAGAAATATAATAAATCTGATTTGCGCCCAAGACCCTTCGTATACATCACTTTCTTCACTTTCAAGGGTCGATTGCACTCGAAACTGTTTTTCGTCGTCCATTGGGTGGAACCGTTTGCATAGACACGACGCAGCCAAATTTGATTCTGTTCTCTAACTGTGATAGTGTCGTCGTTCAGTGGCATTGACAATTCGTTTCTATACCAACTTCAAGATGGAAAAAGAACCATCCACGGGGGTACCGCCCTTATGCGCAGACCAGTTGTTGCACAGTTGAGTCATTTCCGAAATGAAAAACGACTGCGTTGACTGACTGAAGACGTTGCATGATAGGTAAAGAACGTTTACAGTTGTGTTAATTCCCTAATTGGATAGGTCTAATCGGTCAAATTTTGCAGCCGGGGAAAGACCCTTCCCATCTGGGTATACTCGGTATCCTCCTTCCCGAATTTACTCCAGCTTTGAGGCTAATCTTAACCCACTCAACTTAGTTGAGGCAGTGAAAGACTGAAGGAAAGTATGTCAGAAAGAGGTGATCAGTGAAGCATTGATTTCTCTTGGAGCAGAAATTTTGATCGGAGCTTGTTTTCTGATCATTGATGCCTACACGAGGGTGTATCCTGTGCCCATTTATCAGAATTGCTGCAGTACTAAGAACCGGTAGGGAATGATCTGCCTAGGCAGTGAATGACCTGATCAAATGACCGTTTTTTTGGATGGTGGTGACAGTTTCTGTCTGCCTGCCAGGCTGTAGGTCTCAGCCAATACCAAAGAAGGCAACCATTAAGGCAGAAAACGCTTTAGAAAATGGCATATGTTCACTAAAGATACTAACAGAAAACCTGGTGATGGTGATGGATGCCTTACCAAAAGAAGAAGGAGGTCGGGGAAGTCATACCGGGTGTAGGCTACCCAGCTAAATAATCGTGATGACACCTTTCACCTGGATGCAGTTGGTAGTAGCTGCATGTCTACCTAAGGAATTCCCGAATAGGTAGGGCATTAGCTCTGCATCTGGGGTGGTAACTAAGTGATTGGAGCTCCCGTACTAGGGTTGATCGATGCCGACTACCTAAGCCGGTTTACAGTGAGCTCGGGGAGTTCCTTATAGAGTTCTCCAAGTCCTAAGGATCTACTTGGCCTACTTGAGCGTCGTCTGGTGAAAACTACCCACTTCAAGGACTACATAAACATCATAATTCCTATTAAGAAGCTCATTAGCACTGTATGTGGAACGGAAGGGGCTTAAAAAGTTGTTATGGACTTGATTCTTCAAAAATTGCATCCTAGTAATAATGTCGTACAACTTCGACAAAACACAAATAAATATAATTCGCTTTATCGTTATTCACCATGATATTTACCCTAAACAACAAACAAAAAGAAAGCAGCAACTGTGAGATTAACTTATTCCCTGTATAGATAGGCCAATGTACGAGGTGGGCATGGGCAGTAGTGAGCGTCGTGTCCTGGGTCACCAATTTTTCCAGGCATTCCAGGTAGTCCATCATTTCCTGGCTCTCCCGGCATTCCATCTTGTCCAGGTGGTCCTTGTTCTCCGGGATTGCCAGCTTGTCCAGGTAAACCGTCAGGGCCACCTTCACCAATGGTTCCCATTGGTCCAGGTGGTCCAGGTGGACCGGGTTCTCCTTTGCCTCGTTGCCCTTCTCTGCCGGGTTCTCCAGGATGTCCATCAGGTCCTGGTTCTCCTGAGTGTCCTGGCTCTCCTGGTGGACCAGCTGGACCTTGTTCTCCATTTTTACCTGGCGGTCCATGGTCTCCTGGACGTCCATCTGGACCACGTTCTCCAACTGGCCCATCTTCTCCTGGGGGTCCAGGGGGTCCAGGTGGACATTTAATGCAAGCAGTATCAACAGGTGGGCAAGTAATCGGTGCATAAGTGACCATGTTATCTTCACCAGGTGGACCGGGGGGTCCGGGCCTTCCTAAACAGTTTTGCCTGAACAGGTATTTCCTTTAAAGTAAGAGAAATGCATATAAATGCATAATAGAAACATAGAATGTAATGTTTCGAGTGCTTACCAGGTTCTCCAGGTGGTCCAGGTGGTCCAGGAGGTCCAGGAGGGCAAGTTGCTTTGGGTGCTTCACAATAACACCATGGTGGTAGACCAGTTTGCCTTTTGGGTCGAAAAATTGAATTGAAAGGATTTTCGCGTGGTTTCGGCGGTGGACCAACAGCAATTTGGACGTTTATCACCTCGTTCCAGGCAGAATCGGTCTCAGCACGAAACACAGTAACACTATCGACTACCTCATCGTGAATCTCGTTAATAGTTTTATAGAGCGATGGAACGATTATTAGCCAAATGACGACAGCAAGAGTAGAACAAGCCGAGGCTACACACAGTACCAGCTTTTCTTCAAACATCTTGCAGCGGCACTACTGACTCTGATCGGCTGAATCGCTCGCTTTTATGGTGCTCGTCGTCTCTGAGCTGCCCAACTGGCCACGCCTCTTCCTGGTTTGGCTAGTTCGGAACCATCCATGGGGGGAAATAACGGCGGCGGACGCAAAACGGCAACGTTCATAATTAATATAATCCATAACGGAATGATGTATTGAAGTGATGTTCGGAAAGTAAAGGATCGATTCCCGTTTGGGAGAAGGGGAACCATCGAGAAAATCCAGTTAGGAACCCGATTTTTCTTGAGTGGAACGTTACAGATTGGGCCAATGTTCCATTAGCCTCGGAGCTTCAGGAAAGACGTTTTTTGCCGGGTATTGGAAGCTTGGAACCGATCTTGGCTGATGATCAATCGATCGCTCAAATTTCGCAGATCTCGTCGACTATGACGGATGGCACGGATGGTGGCAAAAAGTGATTGGGTGTTGAGCGAAAGAATGTTGATTACTGGCTATTGCTTTGTTCCAAGAGGGGTTTTTTGTGAATCAAAATGTTACACAAGTTATTGATTCGAGTTATTTTATGTATTAATAAAGTGTTACAGTCCTCGATGCTTCATGAAATTACTCTGACGAATGGAACCATCAGTAATCAGTGTCAAGAAGAGTTTTTGGTTAGAGGGGCTGAATCATTCGGTAGCAAAGTGGTAGCGTAACGGCCATCCAGCTACTTCAGAAGTTCTGGACAGTGTTTCGTACGGATCCACTCAAAATTCCATCCTACCGTGGTCAATTATTAGTTGCTACCGGACTGGTCCTCCACGAAAAACCTCACTCCGTGATGTACTTTGCCTGGACTTCGCACCTCTAATTAGCCACTCCAGGCTCTGTTAATGTGAGTACTTGAGTGGGACAGTTGTGTGATCGTGAACAAAATAACAGCCCATTTTTCTTGGAAAAGAAAAATACTGAACTGGAACGTCAGAAGTGGTGCCGTGCCGGAAGCGGAAGATGACAGGAAGTTCGAATTCTCACTTCTCTACAAACTTGAACTCCAATTTTTCTGGTAATGGAGAGAGTCGAGTAGTGATAAATGTCTCGACTACCAATCGGGCATTGGTCAGGATGCGCCATGGAGGTCTACTCGCCGGAGCGCGGTCAATACGTCTGCAGCTACGGCTCTGGTCCTTAAAAGGCACAGTTCGCGATCAAAATGGTTCCTGATTTCCCTCTACAGGATGAATTGGAGGCTTCCGCGGATACCATATTTGGCACTATTAGGTCGGAAAACGTCAAAGATTGGCCCGTGTGCATCCTCGGACGAGTTTCACCGCCACTGCAGATGCTACACCGATCATAAGGGAACCCAGCTAGGAAGTTCAAACAACTTGTTATGACATGTGCAATAACTGAAATCTCGTCCGAATACCCCTTCCATGTTTTTTCCGTCATGGTGATCTCGTCCAAACTCCATTTCCTCTACTTTTGAGGAGCCATATTCGTTTCGAAATCGGCAAATTCTCTCGCTTTCTTCACTACGATGAACTATTCCCAGCCTATACTTCCGCCCTTCGAATAAAAACGGATACCTCAAATTTCAAATCGTAGACTGTGTCTTGGAGGATCCCATGTTCCCAACCGTTTCCAGGCATGATTGGTCGAGGTCAGAGCATATCATGATGACCTAGCTGTGACAAGCAACCGCTTGGGCACGTCTTGACCCAAACTCGCTAACATTCAACTGCACATTGGGATCCCGTCTAGGAAGTCAAGCCTTCCACCCTCGATGAGCCAAGTGAACGGAACCAGTTTCGATTAAGGAGATAGGGACGTAAAACTATCTCGAAGATGGCCCTATAATTCACTGTGAAGGCTGAACCCGCATTGGAACATGCTCACGAATCCAAATGGGAGTCGAATTCATGGGCGCGTCCCAGAAGGGAGTTTATCTGCATCAACAACTTTGCTGCAAAACTTGCTGGGGAGCTTAGTAAGGTTCGATTAACCGAGTTTAAGGTCCGTTTTCCGCCATGAAGACCAAACATAGACATTGTAGGCTTAGAGCCCCTTCTTATTGAAACATCTATGTGGGTGGGTATTTAGAGTTCGGATTACAATTCTGAACGACTCTTATTCCGGTGGCAGTCATAAAAGAAAGCACTGTAGAGGTTTTTTCGCTGGACCACTACTTTCACTGCTTTCGCTTCGTCACTTCATATTGATGGATTCATGTCAGTACTGGCCGGTTTCCCATAGGAAACTTCCTCAAAAAGAGGGGTAATAAGGCTAGAATGGCCATTTCACTCACAGACCCCGCCCATTCGTCGAGTGGAGTTATTTACCAGCTTCACAACCAGAACTTGCAAAAGTAATGTTCTTCCCATGAAGCACGGGAATAACTCCATGGAAGGTTTTCGGAATTTCCTAGATTATGTGAGAATAGAGAGCAAGTTCTTGGGGAGCTCCGACCATGTCAGGTCCCTATAGCTCCTATAACCTGATTATAACCATGTTCCAAATTTCCAAACCTTTGCTTCGTCTTAGTATCCCATTCGCTAAGAAACCAGGACCTTAGGATACAAATGTTCATGAGCTGCCAATATGAGGTCTGACTCGGACGTAGCCTTTCAATTCCAAATTCAGATTTTTTCACGAAGATTTCGGCAAAAAACTTCACTATCTGATCTGTGCCATGAATAGAATGATATTCCTTCATAAAGTTGGCTTTATACGGGAAGACTGCTCCTGGGCAGTGTCTGGAAAGGTTTTCATCAGCGTGAGTTTTTCCGCCAAAGCAGATCAGTGGCACTCGCTTTGCTCTCTGCTCTCCCACCCAAACAACTGTAAGTAGACGAAGGCAGTATCGTTTCCACGACGAGACTATGGACTGCACCAAAAAATAGGGTCCTCCAGCGATATCATATTAAAAAGTTGCAAGGGCTGGGGTGGGGAAGGTTCGGGCGGGTGGCGCCCTATCTCACCGGGTCCAGGTATCGAATTTCCGAATTGATCCTCGCCCATGCTACCCATTCCTTTGAGGTCTTTTAATTGCTATCGAAATCGTCTGGGAGGATAAATGCACTGACCTGTGGGTTGGCTAGCAAGTGCAATTCATTGTGTGGTCCACCTAAGCACCAAAAAACGGCACCATGATTCCAATGGAAGTCGAATGCATTGGTGCATCCCATAAAGGGGCATAAAGGGGAATGATTAACGTCAGTAGACCTTATCCCTTCATCCTAGAGCAGCTTAATGAAGTCAGAATGCTTTGCCATATTTCAATGATGAACGACCATTGCTTTTTTCTTACTCAACCTGATCATAGGAACGACTCGCTTCTTTAATTAGGAACAAGCTCATTCAACTTACAACGGCACTTTTCGACAACTCGATGTAAAATAGGTAATTGAAAAATGCAAAAGGGTTGGCAGTTAATACGCCTCTGATGGTAAAAAAAAACACAACTCACCCTAAGTCGAGGATCCTCCTTACAGCTCTGAGAGATGGTCTTCGTGATGGTTGTCCGAGTTTTCCGCTTTTGAATACACCAAGTGGACGAGTTTTTTGCCATTGCTGAATATGTTGTACAATCAATCACGTAAGCGCAAGAGAACACAATTTTCTTACGAACAAAGCTATTTTCACCTACGGCTATGGAGCACAACTGAGAAGGACCTACCAATATCCCCCTGCTTTTCTTATTAGGTCTATAAATGCCAAGACGAACATCTGGGCCATAGCCCAGAAGCTTCCCCGATTCTATTGCTTCACGCAGTAGTGAAAGTTCAAGCCAATGGCTTGGGTATACCTACATCAAGAGAATCTAACTCCTATTGGGAAACTCATAGTCAATATATTATCAACAACCAGTGAAGTAGAAAAACGTTCCCATCGACCAATTCATTTGACACGCCCTTCCGGAAACGACTCAGAGAACACTTGAACGCCAGTTTCGCCTTTTCTGGCCTATTTTTACTGTATTAGGCCCCATATCTTGTGTGGCCAGTATTGAAATTTCTTCCCAGTTTCCTATGGAACAAATTTCATCGCAAACTGCGCCTTTAGACGTCTAATTGATTTATCAATTAAGCGAATTTGTTGAAATTTTAATGTTCGAAATTTCAATGTCTTTCTACGCTAAAAATAATCAACGAACTAGTTTGCTTCCATCATAACTTCAAGTTTCTGAATGAAAACAAGTTCGGAAGTTCGATGGTCTCACTACAACGCTTAGATAAGACGAAACTGATCTCTGAAGGGCCTTGCCTTGGTGCATTAGTGAATCCCGTCTCAGGGATGCGCCCAACCATTCGACTTCCATCAGAATCGTAGTGGCGTATTGAATGCGTATGTGGCCTGTACAATGACTTGCGATGGCCAGCCGATGCACAAGTCAGTGTTTTTATCCCCCCAGACGAATCTGGTACCCATCAACCGAACCCGGAGGAAGGAACGTTTGGTTAGCCTAAGTGGATATCGGTCCGGGATCCGGATCCGTGATGATGCATGGGTGAAGTGCGCCACTTGCCACTACACCACCCTACCGTCCTTTTGTCGAAACTACTGATAAAATTGCGTGCGTTTCTTCACCTAGTTCCTTCCGTAGAGCTGAAATAAGAATCACTGAAAGCTCCAGTAATTACTGTAGGAGTCCCATGTTGACTGGGAATTTTGTAATTTGTAGGGGTTACTGGATGGGGGAGTCTAGGAGTCATCTCAACGAAAAAAGTTCATTACAGCAGCATTTTTGTAAAAATTTCATGTATGTGAGTCTCCTGAACGGAATCGATTCTCAAACGGTAGAATTGGGAATACTGTAAATTCCTGTAATTACTGTAGGAATCCCCTGCTGATCGAAAGAATTTGTAAGGAGCTAATGTCTATCGTAGGAGTCCCATTAGTGAGACAAATTGCCTCCTACATCGAATTTTTCGAAAAATTTTATGAGTGTGAATTTTATGTGATATTGAACCTCGATATTCATCACATTGGAAATATCGACGAAATAAAACGAATAAAACATT